AGGAAGAAGGACATGGCCAAGTCCACTTCTGGAAAAAAAAAAAAAAGCTACTGAAAACATTATGAATAGCAGGGAAACAATGTCTGATATAGTGCCAGATGATGAACCCTTCAGAGTGGAAAGCACTCAAAATACGACTGGGGAAGAGTTGCCTTCTCAAAGAGGTGTGGACCTTAATGATGCTGTTATGTGCCATTGGTCGGACCTGACTCTAGCGACCCATCCTTCAGTTTCCAAGGCAGTAACACTATGGAAGTAGATTGCCTAACCTTCCTGTAGATGGAGTAAAGCTTTTTGTACCTTCATTTGCTAATGTGGCATGACTCAAAATGAGAAGAAACAGCTGCAAATATCCATTAATAATTGGAATGTGGAATGTACGAAGTATGAACTACGAAAACTGGAAGTTGTCAAAAATGAAATGGAACACATGTAGATCGATATCCTAGGCATTAGTGAGCTGAAATGGACTGGTATTGGTCATTTTGAATCAGACAATCATATGGTCCATTATGCTGGGAGTGACAAATTAAAGAGGAATTGTGTCACATTCATCATCAAACAGAACACTTCATGATCTACCCTGAAGTACAATAATATCCAAGTGAAGACCAGTTAATACAACTATTATTTACATTTACACATCAGCCACCAATGCCAAAGATGAATAAATTGAAGATTTTTACCAACTTCTGCAGCCTGAAATTGACCAAATATGCATTCAAAATGATTTGATAATTATTGGTGATTGGAATGCAAGAACTGGAAACAAAGAAGCATCGGTGGTTGCAAAATATGGCCTTGATGATAGAAATGATGACAGAAATCGCATGAAAGAATTATGACCAACAACTTATTCATTGCAAATACCATTTTTCAACAACATATTGGTGACTGTACACATGGACCTCACCTAATGGAATATACAGGAATCAAGTCAACTACATTTGTGGAAAGAGACAATGGAGAAGCTCAATATCATCCATCAGTCAGAACAAGGCCAGGGGCTGACTGTGGAACAGACCATCAATTCTTCATATGCAAGTTTAAGTTGAAACTAAAGAAAATTAAAACAACTCCATGAGAGCCAAAGTATGACCCTAAGTATATCCCGCCTGAATTTAGAGACTTCATGCATTGAACATCACTGACCAAAGACCAGATGAGTTGTGGGATGATATCAAGAACATCATACATGAAAAAAGCAAAAGGTCATTAAAAAGATAGGAAAGAAAGAAAAGACCAAAAAGAATTTCAGAAAAGACTCTGAAACTTGCTCTTGAAAAGAGAGTAGCTAAAGCAAATAGAAGAAATGATGAAGGAAAAGAGCTGAACAGAAGATTTCAAAGGGCTGCTTAAGAGGACATAGTAAAGTATTATAACAAAATATGCAAAGACCTGGAGTAGGAAAATCAAAGGGAAAGAAGATGCTTGGCATTTCTCAACCTGAAAGAAGAGAAGAAAAATTTCAAGGATCAAGTTGTGATATTGAAGGATTCTATGGGTAAAATACTGAACAGTGCAGGAAGCATCAAAAGAAGATGGAAGGAATACACAGAGTCACTGTACC